CTGAGTCAATATACATCTTGTGTTCTGTGATAATTGAGATTTGTACTGTATACAGAAGTCAGTATCTTTATTTATACTGTAGACCTGTTTCACATTAATTGATTGGAAGGGAGATACAATTTTATATTGTTTGGAGACAAAACATTTTTGAATTTACCGTTTTATTAATATACATTATATAAGCATCTCATTGCACTTGTGCATATGATGTTTTATTAATATACATTATATAAGTATCTCATTGCACTTGTGCATATGATAAACTGAACTGATATATTCCATAAGCAGAAGCAGTTGAAGGGTATCATTCATTTTATTTTGGTGCTTTCATTGCATGTTAATGTTGAAAATATCATAGGTACTGCTTTTCAATGCCATATTTTTGACCAACTCTTATTTTATTTTAGACTTATTTTTTAATAGATGGTGTAGAAGTGAGATAGCTTTGTTTCCAAGTGGTGAAGATGAATAGCTTTTTGTTAATTACAAAGTCCCTAATAAACCATTATGTTGTATACATATGTAATAATTGTAAACTTTTTTTGCTTAAAATATTAATACATAATTATATTAATATACAGGTATACAGATTTAGTCCAGATGTACACAACATTACTATAACAAAGCAGCTTTAATTTATATACTGTTATGTATCAGAACTCAGCAGTATTTACTTCTCTCCTTATTGCATGATTCCCAAGCCTAATCCAACATTAATTCATTGATAACCAGTCATACACAAATACAATGCCAACATATACCAACAAAAGGACAATATACAGAAGTCACAGAACCTACGGTAGGACAGGTCTAATAGTACTGCACTTGTTTTGATCAATTGTACTGTACAGCACTTTCTCTTTTCCCTAATATTGTTTCATGATTGCAGCAGGCTTTTCCTTTATATCTTGTATTTCATGCTGCTTTCCTAACTACAGCAATTGCCTGTTTTCAATGTTCATATTTCTCAACAATGAGTCTGAGAACATTCCATTATGTGACAGAGGAGCCTGTCATGAGATACAAGGAGCACCGGAAACACTATTCATACACCTTCCCTTAAACAGTTGCTAGAAACATTCCTGAGGATGCACACTTGACTAGTAGCTGCTATTACTTCATTTCACATACTTAAAACATACAGGTATGAGTGAGCACTGTGGCATGAATTGAGAGTGCTCTCAAAATGAATGATACTCACTGTTTGGTGTCAGAACTTCCAAGATGGGTCAACCTATGGTGGCCTTAGAAGGCCAAACCTAACCCTACTTCTAAAGGTGTATTTATGGAGATGGTTAAAACCACATGCATGTGAGGAGGGGGAAATTTGATTGTTTTTGTTGATGTTTATTGAACCAGGATAAAGGGAAATGTAAACTGTGTTATTAAGATATATTTGATTCTGTTCTTTTGTAAGAAATCAAATGAATTTATTTATTAATTGTGAAATTATGATTTTGAAAGGATAAATGGTTTGTTCCAAATGGGGGAGGGGCTTACATACTACTGTATATAAGCTGGCTCCTCAGACTAATAGTGGAGTCAGTTGGTGAGTTAGGTAGTTGTGGCTGAAATCAGAGCA